CCCACGTCCCCCACCAGAAGCTGAGATTACAAGGATGTGTCCTCACTCTCAGCTCAGTACTGGACTGTGACACTGATATGTTAGTGTAGATTCATCAGTTGTAGAAAATATATTGCCCTGGGGAAGTTGATGATGGAGATTGCTGTGTATGGAGAAGGACGGGGGACATAGGACGGAGGACACAGGACACAGGAACTCTGTACTTTTAGGACAAGTTCTGCTGTGAACCCAAAAGTGCCCTAAGAAAGTAAAGAGCATTACATTTCGGCCAAAAGACAAGAGAGGTTGGATTCCCAGTGTGTGGAGATGGAGGTAGGTGTATCTAGGTTCAAGGGACAAGGCAGGCTGGAAAAGCAGGTTAAGGCTATGGCAAATATGCAGGCATTTGCACTGATTGCATGCACGACGTGCTGCCTTGCAGGCTGCAGGAGGCAGATGATTTAAATGCACAGACTTCGCTTTCCATGGATGGATACACCCGGAGCTTACAGTAGGGATCTTTTTAACAATACGTATGAATTACATGTTCACGTGTATGACTCAGCTCCTGGAACAGTTGTTTAACCAAGTAAAGTATGTTCTTCTCTGTGCTTTTGGTGTACAAATTCATATGAGGGGCATCAAATGTTTGCTGTGCTAAGCAGACTTGCTCCCTGTCCTGAGGGGCTCTCTGAGCCTGGGAGTGAGGGTGGTGGTATCTTGCTGGGGTGACGTTTGATCACCTGGAGGAGCGCACTGGTGGCTGGCTGAGGGATCCTTTCCCGATAGTTGCAAGAAAAGGTGTTTCAGTCCTCTAACAACCACGTGGCTTGGGCATCAGAGGTGGGCTCTTAAACATGTTTCCTCATTTTATTCTGTCAAGTGTGTCCTCTTTCTCCTCCCTTCCCCCTCTTCCTCTCTTCCTCTTTTTCTTCCCCCACCCTGCTGCCATCTCCTGCCCCTCTCCCCCTCCGATTTCCCCTCTCCCTTCTCCCCCTCTCCCCTTCCTTCTCCTCCTAAGAGGCCCAGGGCATTTACCCATTCACAGTAGATGTGGGCTCTTGGGACTGGGAGCACAAAGCATGAGGAGAAGGGCTGGGGAGATGCTATGGGTGACAAGTCTGTGAGGAAGTAAACAGCATGGATCAACCCTTGGGAGAAAAGGGAGACGGGGAAGGCTCGGAAGCTCTGAGCTAAGTCTCTTCTTCTGGTCCCTTCCACACTCTGCTTCCAGGCCACAATGAGTGAGTGGTTCCCCTACCACGCGCTTCTGTGTCACTGCAAGTCTGGAAGCCATAGATCCAAGCAGCATGGATGGAAACCTAGGCACAGTTTGGGAGGCACATGTGGCCTCAGGGAGAGGATGAAGGGGGCAGGTGCCTTGGGAGGGAGGTGAACAGGGTCTGCACAGCTGTGCCACTTGTTTTCACAGGGAGCAGGTAGAGGAGCAGGCACAAGCAGATGGATTCCCAGTGGGAATTGAAAGTGGAGGGACATCGCCAGGGACCGAAGGAGGTTTCGGCCTGATAATGCCACAACACATTAGTTTGCTTGGCCCTGGCCCATTACAGTTAAGCCAAGTAGGTGACCCATCCTGAGATCACACACCCGTGCTGTGGGTATCCCTGCTGCACACTGGGTTCCAGTGACATCTGTGCCTGAGGAAGCCTTGGAACATCAGGGCATAGAGGATGGGCAGGTTGAGGGAATCGAGTGCATCAGGGCTTCCTTGGAGTCAGGCCACCGGGCACTTTGTCAGGAGGGAGGCTTTGGAGAAAGGGAAGGGTTTTGTTTCAGCCCTCAGCTCAGCAGGTGTGCAGGCTGGGGCTGGCGCTGAGTTGCCCTGTGACGCCAACTCTGAGTGGTGTCATCTGGCTCCGAGTCTCATGAAGTTGAAGCCTGAAGTGAAAGAAAGAGGAGGAATGCTGATTCAAAAGAAGGTAATAACTCTCAATAGTCAGGAAGGGCCTGGCAGTGAGTTGCTGAAGCATCTCTTTGCCTAGAAGTTTTTATACCAAAAGGTGAGTAGGATGTAGGCTGCTCTGAGCCAGTTAAAGCCTTTAGGACTAAAACAAGCTTCCTTAAATGGAATGGGCCTACAAGGAGTGGCGGCACATGGCCAATGGATGCCCACAGCTGCCTCTTGGCTGCTGTCCTATTCAGGTGGTTTATTAAGAGAACAAAATGAGAAGGAAAAACCGTTTTCCAGATGGGAAGGAGCAGAAGCTGTCATCGAGGACGCCCAATGTCTTGCTTGTTGCTTCCTGTGTTACCCCCTGGCCGAGTTGGGCACCTGGTTTGTGTTAGCTGCTTACCTCAGGCTTCTGCTTATCTGACCGAGGCCTGCCCATCCCTACTGGATCTTGGACCCAGTGTCTCTCTGGCCTCCTGCTGTCTTCTCCTGACTCGTGGGTTCTCCATTCTGTGTAGTGCTCACTCGCTGACCGGAGTGTTCACATCTACACCATTTTTATGACAAAGATTTGCATATTCCAGGTGAAGAATCAATGCTTTTGGGAAACTTTGACTATTACAGACTCACATGATATTTATTTCTACAGCTCACCGTTGTTCTGACACCATAGACTAGCAATAGGGAACATTTTAGAGTTTTCAGTGATACCACAGCGCGTGTACCATGGGTTTGCCACCACTGTCATAAACTAATCATAGGGTTTGAAATTTAAGGGCATCAAAATTGGAGATTTTCAGAGGATGTGCTCACTTATGAGGCAGGAAAGTCACCCTCATCCAGGTCCTCGGGAGTTCAGGAGAGGCGGGAGATGATGGGATTTGAGTAAGGTCTTTGATCAGCTTTCCGTTACCATAAGCAGATAACTGACACAGGCAGTTTAGAGAGGAAAGGCTTGTTTTGACTCAGATTTTAGTTTGGAGGTTTTAGCCCGTGGCTGGTTGGCCCTGTTGCTTGAGCCTGTAGTGGCACAGAGCAGCATGGCAGGAGCACACGACATGCCTGTGTCATGGTGAGGTGTGAGAGATGGGAAGGGGACAAGGCTGGGGCTCCCGTGGCCTAACTTCTTCCCACGAGGGCCGATCTCTCAAATTTCTACAGCTCCCAGTACACCAAACTGGTGAGCCTTCCTTCGATGCACAGGCCTTTAGGGGACATTTGGGATCCAAACCATAACAAGAGTGGTGTGCAACCCCACGGACACTGTTCAGAGGAAGTGGAAATGATGGTAGGTTTAAATTCTTGGAACCAGAACTTCAGTCTTTTCTCCTTTGTGACTTCCAGATAGGAAAAGCTGATAGGAGGAAGCGCTGAGACCACCTAGTTTTCATCCTTCTCTATATCAGGAATTTTTCTTTATCTTTTTTGGATATGTAAGTCAGGAACCAGGAACAAACTCCTTTTGTGGGCTGCAGTGGGGGACATTGACATGCAGCGTGCCCTTGCACTCTGCTAAACTCTCATCTGAGCGCCTGGCAGGTGGACATGACCTTTGTGTCACTGACCAGCTTTGCCTCTTACCTCAAGGAGATTGTTTATAGGACTAAGTTTGGTGACTGAAGAACAGAGCAAATCTTCCCTTCCCAATTTTTTTCCACTGTGTGTTTAAGTGCAAGGCATTTTTTTTTTTTTTTTACAAAATATACTTTTAGGATTATATGAGTGAATACATAATTATTTTTATTAGACTTGGCTCCTGAGTATCTAATCAATATTGAGTAATTTAATAAGTGTCAAGTAATGAAATAATATTTTAGTTTGATCTTGGCCAGTTATTTTTAAAAAAAGAGTCAGAAAAGAGGGAGAAATGAGAAACAGAAAGGACCTTCAGAGCGATACAGAGCCTGAGAGAGAGAAGGAGGCTGCAGGGAGAAAAGGAGAGAGAGAAGGGCAGAGAATTTGTCAGCCTGCAGGCATGTCAGTTTTTATTTCCTGCTCTGCGTGTTCGTGTGGTGACCGTGAAGTCTGTGGAAATTGAGTATTTGGGTCCAGCTCACAGCGAGGAGGGGCGAGATTGTACCCCAGGACTCTGGACTCCTAATCTGGTGCCTTGCTTTGTCACCACACTGAGATGAAACGATTGAGAGAACTCAAATTCTTGGGGGAAAAGAAACCATAGTGCTACATCAGTAATGGCAAACAAAACATGAGAACTCCAGTAACCCCCCTGTAAGGGCGTGCATTGCTGTTTGGAATGGTGCAGTGAGCTGCAGCATGGCTAGAGACGGTCTCCTCTGACCATTTTTTCTATATTCCTGAGCCGATGCTTCCTGTGTATGGAATTGCACATGACAGTGGCATATTGGGTTTCTGTTGAATTGCATCCTGGATCACTGCTCAACTTGATCTAGCATCTGACTTGTTCAAGATTTCATTGACTGAACTCTGTGGGTTGTGTGTCTATCCCATGTCAGACACTGTGTTAGATTGTAGGGTTTCCCGGTCGTTTGCGAGTGGTCACTGCACCGAGTCACTATAATGAGAAGTGATGTTCCCAGAGCAGAGTTGTTGAAGGAGATGGGAGGAAGAGATCAACTCTGGACAGAAGCAGCTGAGCAGGATGCATTGAGGCAGTGCTCATCTGGCAGAGAACTGGAATCCTTGACTAAACCCTCCTCAGGGATAAGTGAGAATTCTGTGGCCATTGACTTCCCTGAGCCACTTTTACTCCTTGATTGAACAAACTCCAGTCTGCAAAGATGCCAGTTGATTGCATCTAGAAGGATTTGCTGGAATGAGGATCTGCTGGTAGGAAGGACCTCAGGTATTGAGGAGTTGTCTTAGACCTGTCTGGGAAACCAGCTCCACTGAGCCTGGGCTGGCTCAGTGACAGTCTTCTGGAATCTTCTTGGGGGAAGAATAGGGGGAAGGGGAGCTGACTGGTTCCTCTGAGGGTTGGGCGAATCAGAGTTCCTAGAGTGAGTCCAGCCATCAGGTTTGATGACCCTGCCACGAGTGCTCTAGCCTTGGGGTGCTGCAGGACATTCTTCCTCCCGAGTCTTTTCCTCTTTAGTGTGTGTTTACTTCTAACTCTCTTAATTTTTAACAGGTGGCTAAACCCCTTGTTTAAAATTGGCCACAAACGGAGGTTGGAAGAAGATGACATGTACTCAGTGCTCCCTCAAGATCGCTCAAAGTACCTGGGAGAAGAGCTGCAAGGGTAGGTGTGCGGCGGTAGATGAGGGAGAGGAAGTAGCAGTGCTTCCCAGCGTGGCTCCCGCCGACTCCTGAATTCTTGCCTCCATCCCTGTTCCTCCGAGCCCTCACCTTCCCCTGGAACCTAATTTCTTCCACCTCTGTGCCTCTCCTTGGGCTGTCCCTGGGCTCATCTCCGTGGCCTGTGGGAGGCCTGTTTCCAAGGCCTCTGTAGACGTGGAGCAGCTGGTGCCAGAGAACTCGGATGCCTGAGGTTTGTCCCAGGCTGATACCAGCAGAGCGGTGTCTGGATCATTTCTATCAGGTCTGCCTTCTCATGCTGCTAAGGCTGCTGGAAGTCAGGAAACCGAGGCAGAGACTCCTTTTTCCAATTTTTTTCCCTTGCGGCCAGTTTTTTGTGGGGCCACAGATTGTCTTTTAGGAACCCTGTAGTTAGCTTGCCTTTGAGGGACAGAATGCCCTATAATAAATACTTGTCTGTCCCTCTTCTGCCTCACTCGTGTTACCATTTGGCACTGTATGCTCTTCTTTTTTTTTTTTTTTTTGTTTTTGGTGTCGGGATCGAACTTATGACCTCACGTTTGCCAAGCAGGCACTTACACCACTGAGCTAACCCCCTGGCCCCTGTGTACACTTCTTGACCCCACTTTTGTCTCATTGTAGGTACTGGGACAAAGAAGTTTTCAGAGCTGAAAAGGATGCACGCAAGCCTTCTTTAACAAAAGCTATCATAAAGTGTTACTGGAAATCGTACCTGCTTTTGGGAATTTTTACGTTCATTGAGGTAAATGTTTTTCTGCTTGGTTCTTTTTATTTCCCTTTTTATGAGCACCAGGGGTTGAACTCATGACCGTGGAGTTGCAAGGCAGGCGCTTATGCTGCTGAGCTAATTCCCTAGTCCCAAGGTAAATGTTTCTATACACAGTGGATTGTTGGAGTGTGCAAATGAGATGGACCAGCGAGCTATTGATCAGTATTGAAATGGATGGGACCACGCAGAGAAAGAAGCCAGGTGGATTGGCAGGTGTGCTGAGGCTGGAGGATAAAAGACACCTGGGAAGTATGTTGTAATTCAGCAGTTGTAATTGTCTTTGGAAGGGATTAATACTTAAGGGATTGAAGCTCAAGGGCACTATTATTTTTTCTTCAAACATATTAAAGCCTAATGTGATGGAAGGATGGCACTGTTTATGCCACGCTGGGACAGTGTTGGTGCTTAGTAAACTGAATCAATGATAAGAATCAGTCTGCATCACAGAGGTTCCAACAGCTCTGGTGAATTGTATTTTGTGGTTTGAAAAAAAATTTGGATCAGAATTGGGAATTATAAAAGACATCTTGTCTGTGCTCAGCTAATCATGGCAACTCTGACACACACTTCCCCTGGGAGATATTGCCATTACTTCTTCCATCCCAGGGAAGCAGGACTTTCAAGTACTATCCCTGGGCTGGCTGTAGTGCCCCAGGGGGCAAGAGCTGGCTGGAGCTTCAGAAAGCCACTCTTTCCCAATGGGCCAGGACTGAGAACCCCAAGTCCTGTGTACTCAGCTTTACTGTGAGTTTCAGTGAATTTGGGCACTGCCCGTCCTGTCCTGGCTTCTGGTCTTCCTTATTGGGGTGGATTGCTGGTTGGAAGTGGAGTTTTGGTAGTACAGTACTGCAGAGATTGCCAAAGTGGACCATTAGTGGGAAACAGCTCAGAGAGCAGTGACCTCTGTTACCTTGAAGAGCTCCCCTGGGGTCCTCCAGTGAGATGGTGCTCTGCCCAGGGTGCCTGTTCTGGTCTGTGGGAGAGGATACCGAACGTTTAGCCGGGTGGCTTGTGCCCTCAGTGGTATCTCACAGCTGCCACAGGGACCTGGGGCTCCTGTGAGAGTAGTAGGAATAGAAGACACAGAAGTTCAACAGAATGGTGGCTTTCAAAGCAGGGTGCTGCTGAGGTGTCCCAAGTGTGTTTTGAGAAGTGACACCTGGCAGCTGGCCAGCTGATCTGAAGAGAGATAGGGATGTGGCTCCTACTTAACACATTTTGTGGGTGTTGAAGGGCATTGCAGCAGGGAGAGGTGATAGCCAGCTCTATCCTATGAGGCTGGAGAAACCAGAGAGTGGCCACCAGGATGTCCTCGGAGATTGATGTTTTCACTGGTGACAAAGGTGTGTCAACCAGTCTGTCAGAAGCTGAGTACCTCCTGTCCTGTCGTCACCTAGAGGCTGCCCTGGCCTTGTGCTGGGCAGGGTGGAGACACAGCCAATGGGCCCAGGTGGGGCTGACAGGATGTAGGAGTCTCTCAGGCTTTCCTGTCCATCTCTGACCAGTGCCAGATTTGAGTGTGGCCAAAGGAAGTCTCAGTTTGAATTAAGTAGAGCAGCAAGCTGGTGTCACTGTGCCTGTATGGTTTCCTGGCCAAATATAGCCATGCAGCCTGGTGAGCAGAGCTGTGCAGGTCAGAGGTCTGGAACCTGAGGATGTCCCTGATGCCCATGGCACATGTCTGGCGAGGTGTACCCAGGGCAAGTGGCTTCTGGATGGCTTCACATATGTGTGGGTGCATCTCATGGAGTTGGCCTCCCCACACTGCCCTGTTTCCTAGTTATCCTTCATTACAAGGTGCTTAAGAAATGACAGTTGGATCTTGAAAGTGACCTAGAAGGTTGCATTTGGACCTCTGACTGTCCTTGACTTGTCACAGGCTGCCCACAGCTTGGGTGAGATGGTGGCCAGGCCCAATTCAGAGGAGCACAGTCTTCCTAGGAAAGCTGCTGTGAGATGCAGGCGCAGAGATAGAGAGATAGAGCTGAATGAGAGAGCACAGGCCCTCTTCAGTGCTGGGAGCTCTGCTGTCACACTTGTTGCTGTTAGATGTTGGATGTGGAGACTCCTGGGACCCAGGAGAGCTTAATTTGGTGCCTCTCTTTTTGGAGTTGACCATTGTGTAGTCGTGGCAGAAAAGTACCTGGCAGACAAGGGGTTTGTACCGAGTGGTAGTGGGAGTGGCAGCGGCAGCGGCAATGGCAGGGATGGGGCCTTACACTCAGGAGTAGTAGCAGTGCCCCTTGGTATAGTAGTAGCATCACCACACAGTGGTAGTACTCAGCAGCAGCTGCGGTGGGATTCATCAGAGCAGTAACAGCACTAGAAGTAGCTGTAGCAGCAGTATTGGTAGGGTTTATACCTAGGAATAATATTCTTCAGTACTACTTTAGTATTTATCAATAATAATATTAGCAGTAGTGGCAGTATTCATAGAGACCCACTCTCTGTAGTGGCTACAAGTACTAGTGTTTTTAGTAATAATAGCAAGGGCTTGAAATAATATTACATGCCAGGAGTTGCTCTGAACATTTTATTGCTTTCATTGCGTGGGCTGACTTGGCGAGGTGGGAGGCATTGTTACCCCTACTTTCAAGAGGGGCCTGAGTGAATGCCAAGGTGTTACGTCTTGTCTCCTGGCCTCCCCAGAACACTATTGGCTGCTGAGTTTCAGTGGCAGGTGCTGTGACTTAGGAGTCCAGTCCACTTGGACTGACAGCTGGCCCAGCGTCAGGAAGCTTGGCTGGCTAACTCTGTCCTCAGGCCCATTTCTCCAGTGTGACCTGAGGGATAAGGTGGATGCTGAGAGCTCCCTGGCATGGTAGAACATGCCTGTGGGTAGTCAGAGGAGAGACTGCCACTCAGCAGAGAGCCCCTGTCCCTGGGGCCAGAAAGTCACAGTTGATGTGGGAACATGGCCAGTGCCTGGCTGCCTTGCTACCTCTGGTTCTTAGACATTAGGCTGCTAAGACTCCGTTCCAGTTGAGTGACCTGGGTGGCCGGGGAGGCTATAGTCTAGGATGGTTCAAGCAGAGCTGAGTGCTGTCTTTCCTGAGTCTGTGAGTTGTGGAGTGGTGGAGTGGGTGTGCATTTGCCTGGCAGGGATCCTAGAGTGATCACCAGTGTGGGTAGCTCCTCCGTTCTGGTGTCTGACACTGCCTACAGAGTGGGCCTTTGAACCCACAGTGCTGGTGGCCTGTGCTTTTCCCAAGAGACCATTTCCTGTATCCACACGGGATTCAGACCTCTGAAAATAGGCAGCAGCTGGTTATTTCCTAGGTGAGGATGGTGACCAGCATTTTATTTTTGTGTCTTTAACATAATTAATGGCAGAACTTTTTGTTTCAGTGCAGTGCCGATCAGGCAGTTAACAGTCCCCTAAGCTCAGCTAGTAAACCTTTTATTTACTTACTTTTGTTGCCAGTGAAAAGAAACCTGAATTATAATACAAATAACCCCGATTTTTGGAAACTTGCCTCTGCAGTTTTGGAGATGTCAGAGACAAATAATTTCTTACAGTGAAGCTAGTAAGAATTCTGTTACAGTGAGATATTATTCTCAGATGCTATTTCGGGTTTTCAGGCATTGTATCTAATTACCAAGTCAAACAGAATAAATGTTAGTTTGACAATTGGTTTTATGAAGTGGCTTCTCATTTTTCATCTCCTGTGTACTGTTTGTCGATCTTTGAGTTTTAGATGGTGAAAAATCTAAATGCAACCTGGCATTATGCAGAAATCAGGCATATTTTTTTCTTGACCTCCAGTGCCTTTTTAATTCTTCCAGTGGACACAACACATCCACAGTGTCTCCCTCCAGGTATCCAAGCAGGGCTTTCTCTGGGTGTCACCCAGGATACCAGCAGGAAAGGGCAGGTGATGCCATGTCTTGGGGAGGCTGGGATTTCAAAGCAGTGCATACCTCTTCCTGTGTGAACTGATTGCAGTGCTCGCAATGCATACTCTTGCAGGTGTACTTGTGCTAGCTAGAGCCCAGCAAGCCATGAATTTTCAGAGGCTTGTCCCCTGGAGGACAGAGACAGAAGCATATCTTCACCTGCCCAGAGCCCTCAGTGTAAAGATATGAAACATGGGGCTGGGGCTTTAGCTCAGCGGCATAAGCGCCTGCCTTGCAGGTGTGTGGTTGTGAGTTTGATCCCTGGTACCGATAAAAAAGAAAAAGACCCAAGATATGAAACATGGGGGCACTGCGCACGCTGCCCACCCAGGTCAGCACGTTTGTGCTTGGAGATGTCATGCCTGCTGAGTGCCAGGCTGGAGACATCAAAGGAGCTGGTGTGACTCAGCCGCCGCTTCTATTTCTGAATGGGGGCAGGATTAAGTCTTACTCCCATGACTCTGGGGTTTTTGCTGCACGTGTGTATGGTCCAGGTGAGGGCTGTAGGAAGCTAAGGTCTGAGTGAATGATGCTTTGGGACTTGGCTTATTCCACTGATGCCAGCAGTTTTACTTAGCAGTGATTCCCTATGAGCTGTCCCAGGCCTTTCCATATCCCAACTCTAGGCACCCTTCACCTTCTCAGCTCAAGAGGCCATGAAGTAGCCACTGATGTGAAGACTGAATGGGCTTTGAGGAAGACACAGTGAGGGGGAAGCGGAGGGAGCAGCAGGAAGGAGGACACAGTTCATGATCGCATTGCACTAGCTTAGGAGTGAGTATTTACCTCAAGCCCTAAACAAGGGCAGGTGCTTTTCGGTCCATTTTCTTCATTAAGTCAGGGAAGCAAGTAACTCATTTGAGAAAGACTGTATTCATCATAGTAAAAAACAAAAACAAAAACACTGTGCTAAAGAATTGATACTTCTGACAGTTACTGGGAAAACTTGGCTTTCCCAAATGACTGAGATTTCTCAAGATTCTCGCTCTGCTGTGAGCGTAAGCAGCAAGGGGATTTTACAGGCCCTTGCGAAAGCAGGTATCTTGGCCATTAGAAATGGAATAGGCCATCCCCTT